CCAACTGTCGGGCTTAGCTGTTCTCCGGTAACATTTTTAGATCATTTTTAGGAGATGATCAGAAAAAACTTTTTGGAAAAGCTAACCTAGAGAAATCTTTACCTTTATCGTATCACTCTCATTGTAGATTTTGATTGACTGATAAGCTCAACGTGTCGAAATATCGTTTAGTTCTTACTAAACGTTCTTTCTTCTTTTTTTTTCTTGTCAGTTCTAGTAAGAAAAAAGGAATTTCAAAGTTTCAAAGATTTTTCAATTTCAAAGAATTAAAAGAGAAAAAGTTGATTTTTGGGAGAGTTGCAGAATTGTATTGTACGAGTTTCAAGTTTCGATAGTTTCAAGCATGGGTTTGGGTGAAGAAACCGATTTTGACCTTTCCAATATATCCCCTCTCAAAGTATTCGTACAGATCGAAACAAAACTATTAATTTACTTTAAGATTTATTAAACAAAATGTTAAAAGCCGTGAAATGTTGAGGCACTTTCATGAAAGTTTCGTTTTTTAGAGCAGAAAAATAGTTTAAGACATCATAGGGCTTCACGAATTTAGGAGCCATCAGATTTTTTACATAAACATTGATTTTGAGAGTGCCAGGTCATTTTCGGGATCCGCGAAGGCTTAGATCACCGAGCTTTCAATTTACAAACGTTTTTACACAGGTTAAGCCCATTGTGTTGATTTTAAAACTAGGTTTTGCTGAGAATTTTGCGTAGAATCCGATGAACTAGATCTCGTAGCTCCTTAAATCTAAATGCTCGCTAAATCTAAATACTGGCTAAATATAAATGCTCGCTGAATCTAAATGGTCGCTAAATCTAAATGGTCGCTAAATCTAAATACTCGCCAAATCCAAAATGCTCGCTAAATCTAAATGCTGGCTAGACCTAAATGCTGGTTAAGCTAAATGCTAAAAAACCTAAAGGCGCCATGAAAGTAAAGACCGGCTTTCGATCGGTTGATATGGGATACGTGCACTCGCTGTGCGTCGCACCATAGCCCCGTCTCGATGGTTTGGGCGGAGGTAGAGCGTATACGCAAGGACCCAAAAAATGGTGAACTATACTCGATGTGCACTCGATGCTAAATTGAAACAGTTCCCTAGTGAGAATCAGTCAAAATTTCTGGAGTATCCGCTTTAAAATCGATCGATTTTGATCTTTTATCGTACTTTTGTTCCACTTTTTGTCTTTCTTTTTCAATTTATCAAAGAAGATCAGAGTGGTTCGTTGATCGAAAATTCTTTTTTTCAGGTGTTCATCTCTCCATCTCGTAGCTATTGCGGTGAGGGTTTAGAAGAATTCGCTCTGACCTTTGAAGAAGAAAGCCAAAAAGGCTATACTTTCTCTTTATTTGACAATGAAGATTGTTTTCGTCTTGCAAAAGTTTTCTAAACGTGCAAACGCACGGTTTCTGGTGGATCGGAACAGAAAACAGTCGGCTTCCAAAGAATAAACTTTCCCGATCACTAACCAAATCCTATGATTCACTTAAAAGAAAGTCTTGCGCAAGAATAACGGGCTCTCGTCGTCTTTTCCTCTTTTCTCTGATACGATCTATTGGTAATCAGGCCTCAATTCCCTTCCCCCATTCCACCTTTCCGACTGTCACCAAACGATTGCACAACAACTACCGTATGCTTTTTGACTTTCTTTGTAAAAACCCTTTATAGTGAGTATCTTGTAACTATTTAAATAAGGCCTGCTGAAACGGAAAGGAACTCTCTTGGGGATGGTGTGAACTCCCAGCTGTTACAAGACTGGGAAGGGAATTGCGGTATCGCTTCAGCTGCTAGACTGGTATCGTAGCTGTTACAAGCTGGGGAAAGGAGAGGCGAAGGTTAAAATAAGCTTACGACCAGAGCTGTTCCTATGACAAATTTTCCAGGTTAAAAGCAAGCAAGGCAAAGCAAGGCCAAGGCTTTGGCTTGGACCTTGACCCCTTGGCTTTTGGTTTTTGGTTTTTAGAAACAAGCTTACAACTAATGCGTTTTGTAAGACGTGGATTAAATACCAATTCGGAAAACGAAAACAAAAATTTTCCAATCGATCTCTAGGGCTTGTAACCGAGAACAGACCAAGCAAGAGGCAAGCTTGGTCTTTCTTTTGGCTAGAGTGAATCCATATGAAATGGATTCACTGAAATGGATGAAATCGATCCATATGAAATGGCTAATTCATGTAAATTCCTTTACCATTTCAGCTACCTAATTTCTGCTTTTTAGAGTGAATAGTTATAATCTTAAGCTCAAGGAAACTCTTTTATTTGACATGAAATGCTGGAGAAACTTTTCGATCATTAAAACTCAACTTTGATATCTTTTTTGAACCAAATTTCTATTAGCTCGATATTTTTTTTAATCAACATGCTTCTAAACAAAGATTTCAGTCAATTTTTATCAATTTTTATTTATTTTTGAGTTCTGGAAATAATTTGAAGCTACAGTACTGGACAATGAAATATGATATTTGAAAAGCGATCGTCACTTTCGAGCATCTGTAACTCCCTTGTCTTTGAGTTTAAACTATTAGTGTTATACATTTTCTGAAAGAAGCTCTTTTCAAAGGCTACACAATGGTAATATTAATATTTAGAAATACGGTAAAGACAAGGGAGTTACAGACGCGCGAAAGTGACGATCTTTTTCAAATATCATATTTCATTGTCCAGTACTGTAAATAGGAACTGAATAGGAACTATACAGTAACCAAATAGAAACTATGAAGAAACTACATAGAAACTAAATAAGAACTAAATAGGAACTATAAAGGAACCAAATAGGAACTATTAGGTTGATGCATAAGTCTTTTCGTTTTTTTCGTACTTCTGTTAAAAAGTAACAAATTCACCAATTAATCTATAGTTTGCTCTATAAAAAAAGTAAAAAAAAGACAAGGGAGTTACAGACGCGCGAAAGTGACGATCTTTTTCAAATATCATATTTCATTGTCCAGTAGTATATATAAGCTTAGGATTTCTTAATGAATCAGCTTTTTGTTTTGTTGAAAACGCCTATGAAAATCTTGAAATGCTTGAAGCTGTTCAATAGCTGAAATCTTTCGTCAACAAAGCTGATTATTGCAATAACTTTTCACTAGCAACAAATCACCAATCAGTTTGTATCCACAGCTGAAATCTTTATTCAAAAAAAGCTGACAAAAAGCTGATTATTGAATCGCTTTAGCAACAAATTATTAACTAGAACTTTTTGGAATCTGGTTGGGGGGGAAACTGGAAAAATTTCTGCCATTTCACATAGCTTAACTAGAGGGAATTGCCCTTAGAAACAATCTTTTTCAACAAGTTTAGCAATTAGGTTTCAAAAAAAAGATTATTTGTAGATTTGAAAGCTACAGTCCTTTATTTTTAGCATAAAGAAAGCCTTTTGGAAGGAGTTTTACCGCAAAATTGGGATGGAGTCAAATGGAAAGCTTATTGTAGCTGAAATATTCAAAATAAAGTGATTATTAGGTTGAATCAATTCATCATTAATTCAAAAGCAAAAATCTTGAAAAGTTTATTTTCTAAAAAATCAATCGCATTCGATCGAATAGTTTTTGAATTGGTTTTTCTTTTTTTTGAATCCAATTCATTCTCCCATTTTCCATTTCGATTGTCAGATAACGGAAAATTTTAGCGTAAAAATTTTTGGTTTATTAAATTTTTTGAGGGTTTTGAAGGCAAAAGAAAAGAAGAAATTCTGATTAATTTTTGATTTGATCGAAATGAACTTTTATTTTGCGGTTCTTTAGCCTTTCCTAATACCTTTTCCAGCGAAAAAAAGATGCGCAAATGTCCAGGTGCGCAAATGTTCATGTGCGCAAACAAAGAACTTTTTTTAACAAAATTAACAAATTTTATGCAAATTTCCGCTTGAAAGCTCGTCATCTCCAGTTTAAAAGAGCTCAAAAGTTGTTTTAAAGTTTCTTCTTTAAGACTTTGCACATCGATTAGCTTTCTTTAGTTAAAAGGTATTGACTGTAGACTGTAGGTGGCTGAAGACTGTAGACTAAAGGTAGACTGTAGACTGAAGGTAGACTGTAGACGGAAGGTAGACTGTAGACTGAAGGTAGACTGTAGACTGAAGGTAGACTGTAGACGGAAGGTAGACTGTAGACGGAAGGTAGACTGTAGACGGAAGGTAGACTGTAGACTTTGTGCTCGGGGAAATGAATCTAGAAACGCGACTTTTCTCGAACACAAATGATAAGCCAGTGCTAAAAATAAAGTTTAATTGACCAACTAAGCGGTGTCCCTACTTTGAGCTTCAAAAAGTCGAACTGAGCTCGTTGGAAAACACATCTTTTTGGTGTACAATCGATTTTACATTGTATCACCCAATCGGAGAGATGAAGTGTTGCTAAAGAATTACTCCATAAAAGATTGATTACCGTACTCTTTCGGAGAGCAATGTAAACATAATCTTTTTGCACTCATTTCAATCTTTTTGTCTTTTCTGCTTAATAAAAGACCAAAACGAGCTCAGTTCGACTAATCAAATTTCTAAAAGAGATAACGTTCTCTTAAAGGATCTATCTGTTTTGGTAAGGAAAATCATATTTCCCGAAAAGAGAGCACAAAAATTTTCGAGCATTGATCACTTTTCAGCAGCAACTTTTAATTCTAATAATTCTTCAAGTTTAGTCATCATGTGTACTATAAAAATTTCCTAAAGAATTCATCGAATTTTTGAAAGAATTTGTGACTTGTGGGCGGGGAGATAATGAAGAAAATGCTTTGGAAACATTCAAATGATTGTTCTCTTCTTGAGGAACATGATTGCGATTGTTTAAATGATTGATTGTTCAAATGATTGATTGTTCGAATGATTGATTGTTTAAATGATTGATTTTTCTCTTCTTCAAATTTTCTCTTCTTCAAATTCTCTTCTTCTTTTTAAAAAACGGATTAGCTAACACCATAACCGATCCTTGAATTTTGTTTTCCATAAATTATGTCTCCCTGCCTTTAGCTGTAACTTTGCTAACTCGAGAATTCAGCCATGGAAACTGCTTGGGCAAACTTTTTAAATCACAACGCATCGGCTGATCGAATTCCTCCATTTCACCAAGAGCAACAACAGGTAAACGGGAAAAGCACAAAATAACAAAAATCAAGGCTTAGTTTGCGATTTCACACTATTTTCAGTCTTCATCATTTGGGCATTGGAATGACATCGCTTCGTTGCATTCCACTAACGCTTGTGACACTACTCCACATCAGGTTGAGCAAAATCCTCTTCGATGAACTCGTGTAATTTGTTGAAATTTCAGCGAATTCTACCGATTTCTATTTCGCCTGAAGGTGGCCAAGAGACTCTTTCCAACTCTTGTAAGTTTTTTGAATTTAAAAACTCCTTTGCCTTATCTCGCTTTGATCGATCGCTTTGATCGGACAAAGGGTAGATAATTCGAGATGATTCGATAAGTTTCGTGTGTACAACTCTTCAAAAGATAATCAAATTGATAGTTAAGATAGTCAAACAAGAGCAACATTCATTTTTTTTCTCAGACACGAGCGATTACCACAGCGGACGGTCAAGCCAATTCAACAGCTCTCATCCATCCAATAGCCTCAATAGTTCGTCGATTGCTTTGAGCACACTCGGTTTCGAAAATGGGCAACGACGAGCATCCGTAAGTTACTTGTTTACGAGTTAAAATTGTAAACGTAATTGTAAGAATTGTAAGAACCAAATTTGATTTTCTTGAATCAAATTCAGGTAGAGCTTTTTCAAGTGATTCGTCCACCCTATCCCGACTATGTGTGCCATGATTGTAAAGGAGAGTTTGGACATCATTGGCGAAAGGATTGTCCAAAGGTGGGACTTGAAAATTGGCCCGAAAGCAAGCTAGATTCGGTGGCAATCGGTGCAAAGAACGATTCTTTTGCTTTTTGCTGGCCTTCTGCCCAATTCTTTATCGCTTTTAGTCGTGCGTCTACATAAATGCGCCAATAGGCACCGTTGCTGGCGTCACTTTTGGTCCAGAAGGCACAGACCAAAGACTTCATTCCATTGGCTAATCTAATACAGTCTAATACAGTCAACTCTCTCTACAACGGAACTCTATATAGCGGAAAACTCTATAAAGGAATGGAATTTTGGTCCTGGCTGACGCTAAGCTATATAAAACGGCATTCTATCTAACGGAAACATTTTTTGGATCCTTCCATTCCGTTAGAGAGAGAGTCGACTGTTTATGGCTTTCTGCTAATAAGACTTTCTGATTAGAAAAGTGGAGTAGACAGAGTGGTTCCTCAGATATTCGACCGTTTTGTAATGGGCTTGTTGCTGAATTTGTTGAGCACTGTGCCTGATGTGGCCCGGACCAAAGCTTGTCACTGAGCTGACCTTGGTCTGTCCTAGTCTGGGTTTACTAAGGATTTCACCTAGGCCTAGCCGTGACCTACTCCAACCTGTGATCAGGCTAGGATCCACCCAAGGCTTCGGTTTAGCCCTTGCATGAATCCTGGTCCTAGTCCTAGCCTAATCTGAGCCCCAGCTAGGATCATGATTGATCCAAGACCAGGAGCTCAGGCTAGCTAACTCTGGTCTACGCTAGCTAGGCCTGAATCTATACTGACTTTGGCTGTGTCTAGTTTGACTGGATGACTAGATTTCCGGTAGAAAATAACTTCTTTTCAGCATCGAGGTCGTATCATGCACACGTCGTATCAAGGAAATCTTAGAAGTATTGCTTGGTTTCATTGTTTTTGTGGGAGACATTGGAAAAGCCAAAATGTAAGTACACTTTCGAAGGAGAAGTAGCACCAGTTTATTGCTAATTGGAGCCAATATAATTTTTAACCCGTTAGCGATTCGAAGATCGAATTCGAATATCGCAAGATTCGAAGATCTTGAGATGCTACTGGAAGAGAGTACTGTTGTGATTTGTCAGTCTTGTAAGCTGAATGCCAATCTTCCATTTTGAATATTTGTAGTGTTAAGAGATTTATCTGTTGGGTAAAGCTACAGTACTATTGGGTTGGGGAGAATGAGTTGGCACCGAAAATCAAAAAAATGTCTAAAACTTCTATTCGACTTCGTCAAATAATATGCGTTTGATATCAGTAGAATGGTTAACTAATTCTCTACAAAATGACATTTAAAAGAAAATTCAAACAGCGCCTCCGCTCAAGAAAAAGCCATTTTTTCACAAAAACTACAAACTGTCATCTAGAAAAAAACATTGGTGGGATCTTCCTGCAAATTTGGCAACTTAAGTAATTGAATGTGCTCTATCTTTTTTATATAAACACCAAAGGAGGTTTATGTGGAAGAAACTGTTCAAATGATGAGTCGGACTCTTTGCCATTTTAACCAGCTGCGTTTGGAAGTTCATAAACTCCACGAAAGAAAAGCTTTGTAGAATCTCTCAAAAGTCATTTTGTAGAGAAATAGTGGATCCTTTTGATGAAACCAAACGTATGTTTAAAGAAGGCTTTATGTGTGCAAAAAGTCCCTTTAAAGTTTGGCGCCGACTCATTCTCCCCAACCCAATAGATCAAAACAAAATAGGCCGAAACATTTTCAGGCCTGGTCCGAGTCCACTCAGCGATGCCAGCTGTGTCACAGGAGTGTGTGGCCATGCAAGATGAAACCACATCCGAAAATTTGATTCATCTTCTTCTCGTGTACTTTGTGCTATAGACGCATTTTTTTTCTGGCGCATTGAAGCTTTCATTTTTTGTGCGAAGGGCACATGCAACATGTTTTTTGAGCCCTTTAAAGTTCCTTTAAAGCTCCTTTATAGTTCCTATTTAGGTCCTCAAAGCTCCTTTAAAGCTAATTAATAGTTCCTATTTAGGTCATTTAAAGCTCCTTTAAAGCTCCTTCATAGTTCCTTTATAGTTCCTATTTAGGTCCTTTAAAGCTCCTTTAAAGCTCCTTTGTAGTTCCTATTTAGGTCCTGGTTAAAATGGCAAAGAGTCCGACTAAGATTGAATTTGCTTTTATAGTGAATATATTGATTTGTTACAAAAGCAAGACAAAGTGGTTTATTCCCTAGAAAAAAGATCAAGCCGCACAATTAGAACCACAAGATGAACGAATGACAAAAACTTTCACAAGCTTAATGAGTGACGCACAGTGTTTGTTCTTTGCTTGATACACCAATGACCAAAAACTCAAAAACTCAACACTCAAAAGTTTCCACATTTGGCATCAATCATTCTTCTTTGTTGAACCGTCTTGCCGTCTTGCCGTCTTGCCTACCATTGTACCAATGATGTAAACTGTTCAACTCTGCATTTTCGGATCTTTATAAATGCTTTTCCTGTTCCTTTTTCCTTGGAAAATTTGAACCTGATTCAGTCATCAAAAACTTTTAAATTCTTTCCCCTTGAAACGACTAATCAATCGTTATCAAAAGAATCAAGAATACAAAGCCAGCTTTCATTTCCTTTTAACCACACCTAAAACCTAAAGAGATTTATTATTTGAATCGTGACTTGTGACTGAAAAAAATTCTCTCTATAACGGCGAGAGTTTCTATCTTCACTTCTGTATTCATTCAAACCGTAACAAGGACCATAACCTGGCCTAGATCTCTAACTGTAAGTCTATTTTTGTAGTCGTACTGTGATCCGTCACCCAGCTAGTTAGATACGGTAACTCGGGTAGTTATCTCGGCTACTGTAACAACAATAAACCTAGGAACGGAAAGAGAGACGAAGAGCAAAAATAGACTTACAGTTAGAGATCTAGGCCAGGTTATGGTCCTTGTTACGGTTTGAATGAATACAGAAGTGAAAATAGAAACTCTCGCCGTTATAGAGAGAATTTTTTTCTTATAAACCTTTTTGAGTTATCTCCTTCAACCAAACGAGAGTTTTACGAGGGTGATAAGACTAAAGCAGCCAACCTTGTTTCTCATAAATGAGAATCAAGAAATGGGTGGAGCATCCGTTCCTAGGAGCCTGTCAAATCGGGAAATTCCCTTGCTTGCTTATTTGTTACCTCTACGTGAATTTCTGAGTGAATTTGCGAATCACCTGAAAAAAAAAACCCCAATAATTTCACAATTTTATAATGTTTACACGCTTACATATGTATTAGGTTGGTGCAGATGAAACTTCCGTTGGAACCATAAACAAAATATATAAAAACCTAATACAGAACCTCAATCCAAAAGATATTCGCCACAATCAATGACTCTTTGCCACTTCCACGCAGAGAATGGATGCCCTTTCGAAGAACTCGGGCAACTGCGACCGAAGAAGTGGACACCCAGATTTCAACTCTTCGCGGTTTTGAATTTTTCTGCTAGAGAGTGCTGCATCGACCGAAACAAGTGGTAGTCGGATGGGGCCAAATCCGGGCTATATGGCGGATGGGGCAGAACTTCCCAGCCCAATTCCTCGATTTTCTGCTGGGTGATCTTTGCGGTGTGGGGTCGAGCGTTATCGTGGAGGAATTTTGTAGTCGCCGTGTTATTGCCTTGACGACGCAATGCCTGGTCCACGCGGCTCAATTGGGCTTTGTAGAGATCCGCCGTGACTCTTTGGCCCGAATCCAGCACCTCAAAATACACGAGACCTTTACTATTCCACCAAATACAAAGCACACCTTTTTCCGTGGACATTCGGTTTGGGAGTCGGTTTTGGCGGTTCACCGGCGTCCAACCACTGCCGTTTTCTTGTTGTGTTGTCGTAACATATCCACTTTTCATCTGCCGTAACAATGGAGTCGAGAAAACCGGCGGTCTTTGCGCGGCGGACGAGAATTCCAGCCATTGTAGCTCGAGTCGCTTTGTTTGCGTCGCTGAGCTGATGTGGCACCCATTTTCCACACCGATTCGTCTTACCAATTGCGTGCAAATGGCGGAGAATGGTTGTATGGTCGTAGCCAAACGGCTCGCAAGCCCCGAGTTGTTTGGCATGGATCCGATTCGATAGCGTTCTTCAACTCATCGTTGTCGACAATTTGAGGTGGATTCCCGCGTTTTTGGTCTTCCAAACTCTCATCACCGTCTCGGAAGCGCTGAAACCAAGTCCGGCATTGACGTTCGGACAACACGTCATCGCCGAATGCTTTGCACAGAGCACGATGAGATTCCGTAGGCGTTCCGCCTTGTTTAAAATCATACAACAAGCAAACCCGCACTCGAAATTTTTCGTCAACCATTTTCTAGAAGCTAAAAATTACTTCAAATTAAGTAAAACGCATAAGTCTTAGATATCAAAAGACGCGCAAAGAGACGCTCTTTCAGATAGACAAATATCTTCAATAAAAACTTTTATTAGGTTCAAAATGTAAACAAACAAGTGTGACGGAAGTTTCATCTGCACCAACCTAATATTTACAAGAGTTGGAAAATATGAGGGAATAATTTTGAGTCAAGAAAGAAGTTCCCAGAAAAGGACGCATGTCGAACACCAGTCGACACACAACATTCGCTTCTTTTCGTGGATGTTCCGTTTTGGCACCATTTTACATGCTTACCCTTTCTTCAACCACTGCCATTGTAACACTCGATCATCGTAGAAAATCCACGTTTGATCGTCGGTGATGAGGTTCGAAAGAGGAAGCGGACCATGCCGGTATTCGCTTCACAAGTGGTTGCATGTCCGCTTTCTTTTGACTTGGATTGTTTCCGATATTTCATATGGAATTTGGCGTTGTTTTCTACAATTTCTTTCCACTTTTCGCAGTCATCGCTACACAGTCATCCGTTCACCGTAACTCCCAGCCAATTTCCCGGTTGATCCATCAGGATTTCGCAAGAATCGATGCCTCAGAATCGATGCCTCAGAATCGATGCCTCAGAATCGATGCCTCAGAATCGATGCCTCAGAATCGATGCCTCAGAATCGATGCCCAGAATCGATGCCCAGAATCGAGCCTCAGAATCGATGCCTCAGAATCGATGCCTCAGAATCGATGCCCTCAGAATCGATGCCTCAGAATCGATGCCTCAGAATCGATGCCTCAGAATCGATGCCTCAGAATCGATGCCTCAGAATCGATGCCTCAGAATCGATGCCTCAGAATCGATGCCTCAGAATCGATGCCTCAGAATCGATGCCTCAGAATCGATGCCTCAGAATCGATGCCTCAGAATCGATGCCTCAGAATCGATGCCTCAGAATCGATGCCTCAGAATCGATCGATCCATTTTCCGGGGGTCGACCGCTTCTCCTCTTCCGTTTGATCCTTGTGTTGCCCGTCTTGAATCTGTAAAACCATTCCTATGCAGTACTCGTTCCAACGATTTTGTTGCCATAAAATTGCTTGATTTCTTGTGTTGCTTTGACCGCTGAAATCCCTCTTGAAAATCGTTGAAGCGCGGGAGCAGTAGAATTTCAGTAGGGCAGTAGTAGGGAGCAGTAGGGCATGGATTTCTTCTCGAGTTGGCTTCATTCGATCGACTGCAACTCTCTTCTCGTGTCGATCCCTAAAAAATGAATGTTAGTGCAAGAAAGAAGAAAGTTTAAGCATGAAAAAGAAAGAAAATACAAAATGTTGTGAGCGAGCACTGATTAAAACAAAAATCTCAGGGTTTTTATGGGACAATCTAACAGAGTCCAAATGGGATTCGGTGCCTAAATCTATATTATCAATACCTAAATATTTTTACTACTCAGATTTCGAATAGTTTTCACAAAGCTAAAAGCATCTGATGAATGAGTGGGCTCTTATCATTCTTTTTTTTCCTTTCATTGATCGCTTTCCTTTCTTTTCTGCTTTTTGCCTTTTTATCAATGCCTTTCTAAGAGTTTTCTTGTCTCTGCTTCAAAATTTTAATAATTCCACAATTCAATAAATCCACAATTCCCATAAATCAATCGAGCCATTCCCGCTTTGTTTATTGCTTTACTGATTGACTAATGGCTAAGATCCGTTTCTTAAACTTGATTTTTAATGTACGATAAGGCGTTTCAATGTACGATAAGGCAATCAATAAGATTAAGGTTTCAAATTTTACAAACCAAAGCCTGTGATTGTTAATCACCTTTTTGCAAATCAAAAAAATTTCAGTTTCTTTTTTAAGACATTCTTTTCATCTTTTTAGAATGGTATCCGATTTTACGCAAAAAAAACCAAAATTCATTCATCTCTTTGCGCTTTTTCGAAAGTGATTAGATGCAATTTTTGAAAATTGAATGGGTTCAGCGCTGATTTTTCAATGTTTCATGCGAAAAAAGATTTTTATGAAGAGTTTTTAATGCATCCTTTTTCAACATTTTAGCGTTTCATCAAAAATTGCATTACTCGCAATGTCCACTTCAGTTATTGAACATTGCTTTTCTTTGTCTTAAGATCAAAAAAATTTTCCTCAAATTTTCAGATATTTACTGGGAAAAAACGGCTCATTAAACGTCGATCGATTGCTAAATGAAAAGCAATAATGTGATTGCTGGGTTGTTGGGCGTTTGTGCTTGTCTTTTATTTCTCATCTACTATGAAGAGATTCGAAATGTTATGTTTGGTGGGTGATTGAGTGGGGATTTTCTTGGCAGCGATACTCCAATCTGGCCCTAGAGACGATAGGCAAGTCAGGGCAAGGTCGGAGCCAAGACCAGAGCCAAGAACAGAACCGAGACCAGAGACAAGGCCAAAGCCAAGACCAGAGACAAGGCCAAAGCCAATTTGG